ACAAGAAGATGAGTTTATGTTGTTTGAACCTATTGTAGATAAAAACTTCATCTATCCTTACTGTGCTACTTGTCATTCAAGTCAGGGGTCAAGCGTAAAGGAAAGCATAACTATTCACGAATGGGACTTACCCATAACCAGCAGAGAGTGGATATGGGCGGCATTGACTCGCTGTGTTGATTTTAGGAAAGTTAAATTTTATTGTAATCCAGACGTTGATATGCAAATGGATAAAAATATGATAATGAGATATTTTAAAAACAAAGTAGAAAATTATAAGATACAAGACCGTCGCGCTCAAAGAGAAATTAATGAGGAAGAATACATTAGTGCTGAATGGTGTTTATCACAGTTTAAAAGTAGATGCCAAAAGTGTAATACATCATTTAATTTTGAAACTAAGAAAGGTAAATTATGTAGCAACTTTACAGCACAAAGGTTATGTAATGATACAGGGCATGAGAGAGAGAACTGCATTGCTTACTGCTTTTACTGTAATGTATCAGCACATTAAGATTTTAATATTTTTTTTATATTAAAGTTTTAGTTTTAGACTAAAAAGGGTTTAAAGAAATAATACCTATATATAGTAGAGAGTAATGAACGAACAAGAAGTAAATCATTATATCAATAAGAAATGCTATGACTGTTGCCACTTCAAAAAAGAACATATGGAATTATACAAAATGAGTTTACCTAATGGATTAGTTAATAATATTATTGATTATGCTTTGGGTAAAGAAGATGAATGTAAAATTTGTCAGGAATGGAGAGATAATCAAGAATTAATCAGATATCATTTAAATCTGGAAAGAAAAAGTAATAGAAATATTGGAGATGAAATTTTGCTATTTTTAACTGTGTATGAAAGACCACCTTATAGTTATGTTAGAATATTTCTCAAAATCGGTAAGAAAAAGTATGAAATGATTAACCACATATTATGGATGTTGTTGCATCGTAGGAGAGACGGGTCTGATTTAAAAGGAGACATTAAATCATATATTGAAAGCAAAAAGTTTAATGTGAAAAGTACCGTGAGAGCTATTAATATTATTATTAAAATGATGTATGAAAGACGTAAGATACATACACAATTTAATAATCATCAATTAACTTATTATCCTGAATTTAAATTATAAATAATATTATCAATATAATAAATATTAATTTATTATATGGATAAACAAAAAATAGTTAGTGATATTTATTATGATAAAAGCGGTTGTGGCAGTAAAGGAATAACGTTGAAAGATGCCAGACAGAAAGATAAAACTATTACTATGAGTGATGTAAATGAATTCTTTAAAAATAATATTGAAGAGAAAAGAAAACCAAGAGGGCAAAATAGTTTTTGTTGCTCCTCATGCCTTTTGGGAATTTCAACTGGATTTGTTTTTTATTTCTAAAAATGATTTGGAAAATCAAAAGTTTAGAATTGGATTAATATTAATTGATATATTTAGTAAATATGCTACTGTAATACCTATTGCAAGTAAGCAACCGCCAGACGTATTACCAGGAATAATGGAAGGCATTAAGAAAATGGGCGGAAAACCCAAAATGATATACAGCGACGAAGAAGGCAGTTTATCTAGTTCTACCATTACAGATTATCTTGATGAGGAAAAAAATGAATTACACACCACGAGAGGACACCCTGCTTTTGGAGAAAGATTTATTAGAACCTTTAAGGATATGCTTTTTAAAAGAGTTGATGCGGATGAAAAGAAAGGTAAAAACAATATACAATGGATAGATTACAATTTAGAAATATTATTGACATATAATAATAAATTAGTAAGTTCCGTTACGAAAATGACACCATTAGAAGCAAGGAAGAAGAAAAATGAGTTTGAAGTGAAACTGAATATATCAATGAATGCCAGAAAAACCCGTGTGTATCCTGATTTAGATGTAGGGGACAAAGTCAAGATAATGAGAAAGAAAGCGATTAGCGAGAAAGAGAGAACCAGTCATTGGTTAAGGACAGTCCATACAATAACCAAAATAGAAACTAAATTGGGGCAGAAGTATTATCATGTTAGTGATTTTCCCAAGCCTCTATTGCGACATGAAATGTTGAAATTATAGTTTTAGACTAAAAGGATTTAAAGAAATAATACCTATATATATTAGTGATAAATATGGGATGGACTTTACAATCAAGAGATACTAAAGATTGTGGATGTGTAGAAGAAACACGAGTTCATGATGATTTCCCTACGAGTGATACAACTATAACATTATGCAAAGAATGTGAAACTAAACAAGTAGAAGAGAAGACGAGAAGAGAAGAAGAAAAACCTGAATTATATAATAAATTTATTCAAGCGTTAAAGAATACAGAAACTAAATTAGTTCCAGGAAAAAATGTGTATCAAGTTATATTTGCCCATCGTTTTCGTTTTAGGGGTTCAAGTTCAGTATTAAACAATCGCCTCTTGTATGATATGTTTAAATACCAAAAAATCAAGAATAGATATTATATAGATATTAATGCTGTGCAATTATTTTACGGGCATGAACTTGATAGATATTATTTATTGGATATAAACTAAGCGATTTGCTGTAAAATGCTTTACATCATCATGAATAGTTCAAATAAGATACAATTATTAGATTTATTCAATATATTTGTAATTATCTATTGTATGGTCGGTTGTTTGGTTTTTTGTGTGGCTTGTTGTTTGGTGGTTTTTTTCGGGACAGGTGGCTTACCCAGACCTCGTTATGGTTTTGGTATGGTTGATTTGGGGGGCAGTTATTGAATGGAGTGAAAACCATAGGGGGGAGTATACGGTTATGAGGTCTGGGTAAGCTACTGCTTGCTGTGTGTGGATTGTGCGGGCGCGTGCGGGCGCGTTTGGGCGTGTGTGGGCATTGGGCGTGCGGGGGCTACGGGCGCGCGCGTGTGCATGATGGCGCGCGTGGGTGTGTGTGTGGCTGCGCGTGAGTACGGTTGCCAATGAGGGCCGGAGGTCTCCGGGCGGCTCCGGCTTTCTGCTGACGAATTCATTGCCCCTGACACATACACAAACAGAGACACACACACACACACACCCAGACACCAACGCACTGAAATTAACACAAGAGACTAACACAGACACACACACACACACACAAACACACGCGCAAGTTCACACGAAAACACACACACACACACACAAACACGCACACGCACCAAAGCGCACAGAACTCACAAGAACACATACAACAATCACACCAACATGCAAAGCACACACACACATGCAAACACACAAACACTCACACAAAGACAAACACAAACACGCAAACACACAAACACACACACACACACCAAAAAAAAACACACACAAACACTCACACACACAATATATATATATATATATATTTGTGTTTATTATTTTGTGAAAGAAGCAACACACAAAACACGCAAAAGCACAAAAACACACGCGTGCACGCACACACACACACATGCCAAGCTGGCCGTTCTGGGGGCACCTGGTTGCCTGCAACCAAATGTTGACTGAGGCCGCGCACTGCAGCAGTGCCTCCGGCGGCACGTGGCAATGCTCCGCCAGCCACGTGATCAGCTTCCGTGCCATGGCCTCACATGGCGCGCTTTGCCGCCTTTGCCACGTTGGGCCTTCTGTGCGAATGGGCTCAAAAACCGAGGTGCGAGAATGATTGCCTCCTCTCTCGCCTGAAGTGACTTGTGCAGCTCGGCGGACAGCCGTACCAAACCAGGAACCTGCGCAGGGACCTTTGAGCTCTGATGAATACGAGGCCATGAAAGGCCCGAATGCAAAAAACTGAGACTTGAGAAAATTCGCCTCGGCCCAGGACAAGAAGATCAAGGCAAACTAAAGCATGCGATATCAAGACAAAAACGGACTGGGCGAGGGCAACACGAAGCGTTTATAATTACCACACCTTTGGGTTGGGTATGGCTCCACCGCCGGCCAAAGCGTGGACCTGCACAAGAAACGCCGCACCGTGAAGCGAAGTCTGGCGAATGCCTCCAGAAACCTTGCGAAGCCACCGCCCATCTCTCGGTATCCCACCACCTGCTTCAAAGAAGGGGCAAACAAGGTGAAAGCGTAAAAGAATGCAAAAGAACACACAAAGGCTATAAATGGAAACACGGCAAGAACCTCCAAGCCGAGCGTGGGGCCTTGTCCCGGTAGAGCCGCAAGCGGCCCACCGCGCAGCGCTCTTCCCGTGGCCGCCGGAAGAACTGAATGCGGAACACATCAAAAAAAAGAAAGGACAAAAGTGGACTCCCAACCGTCCGAACCCTCCGAACCGTCCGCACCGTCCGCACCGTGCCTCCTCAGCCAGGCCTTGCATCTGGCGAACGCTTTCCTGAAAGCTTCCAGGAACTTCCTGCCACTTCCGAACGACGCGAATATGCAGGAGGCAGTTTCAGACAGCAAATGGCCGGAAGAGCCAATAATGCATAGCCTTGCGCTGCAAGGACCTTGCAACTCAAAGCATCCACCAAACAGCAACGAATACCACCAATGTGGGGCAGGCCTGGCACAGCTTAAATCTGCTCTGGCTGTCGTCCAGAAGCTTCCCCCACACAAATCTGGACTCCTGACGCTTTTGGCTGACCTCTATTGTCTCAGTGAAAATCTGGGCACCTCTGAAGGCACGCATGACCGACGCGTCAGCAGTGCTTTGGATTGAAACCTCAAGCGAGGATGCAATAATCAGTGTGGAGAGCTATGCCTCTGAGAGGACCGCAAGTGTTCGAGACATCTGCAAGGCATGCAGTCCGGGATACTCATCACGAGGTTTCATGCGTTTCATGCTAGCAAGACCTTGACGTCCCAGTATCTGAATCGTACTCGGGAGGTAGCCAAAAACAACTCGGGGAGTGGGAAGACAATCTGCCTTCTTGCTTCTTGCAGAACAGAACGGGTGCTTGACGGTCGTGAATAAGCCACGCAGGAATCTGCCTGAGACAAATCACATCGCTCCCAATGTCGCTCCGCTGCAAACTTGTCGTTTTTCCATCACTCTTCTTGAGCGACAATCAACTTGAAGATGCAACTTGGACCGAGCTACTGCAGGCGCGGTGGAAAGGCCTGACAAAGAAAGTGCCGCAAGCCATTCCAGGTCCCAGATCGAGGGAGCCGTCTCACCTGCTAGCCTGAATCAGGCGCGAGATACGTTGAACCCGAACTAGTAAATTAAAGCAAAGGGAGTGTAAAGAGTATCCAGGTCGTGGTATTCACGTCCCATTTGGCCCAAAAGGGCAAAGAGCTCAGAGAGCTCAGAGAGCTCAGAGAGCTCAAACATGGCCGCAAGGCAGCATGGGCTGCTCGTTGAGCTCCTGCAAGCGGCATGCCTGTCATGCCTGGCATGCCTGGCACCATCGGGTGCATCCGGCGCGCTGCTCCTCAAAATTCTTGTTGTTGGGGAATGCCGTGTAGAAGGGTGGCTTGTCCCTGAGAGAAGAACTTGAGGCACTTATGGACTTTGGGCACATAAACTGTTGGGCCTGATCCTCGGCAACTCCATGTAGTCCTCGGCAACTCCAGCTTCAGCTTCAATGCATCCGTGAATCCAGGCTCAAAAAAAGGCTTCAAACTCAAGACGGCCGGATCAAAAAAGCTTTAAAAGAAGCAAATCCCAGGCCCAAGCTTGGCGGAGTTCGAAGGGTCGCTCCACGTAGGGCACCGACCTAGCTCGCAACGGGCAAATCAAACTACCAAACCGGCAGGCACGCGTCGCACGCGTCGCACGCGTCGCACGCGTGAATCAAAACATCCGCTGAGCAAGGCACGCGTTGACGCTGGCCGGCACTGGCCGCTCCGCAGGCCGCCCCGGTGCCTTGAAGTCGTCCGGCGACGCGCGGATGAGCTTCGCCAGCCTGGCGACGAAAAACGCGCGACGACGCGCGGCCACGCGCCGACGCTTCAAGGAGCTCACGGCCACTAGGCGCGATTCGGGCTCAGCGGAGCCTGTTCTGCATCTTTCGATCTCGAACTTCTGCATCATAAGGTGTAGAGGCCTCCCCACAGTCTGGTACAGTCCGGACAAAAGGTTGACACTGGGTTGGTCCCTGGACTCCACGAAGAAAATGGAACCAACTTCATCAGTGAGCTTGCCTGGACTGACTTGTAGAGGTTGGCTGCCTGGACAGGAGTGATGTCCCCACAAGTCAGCTGTGTGAGCACAGCATGCACAAGCAGGTGCACAATCATTTAGTTCCTTGACGTTGGCCACCTCGATCTGCTCCCTGGACCTCCGTACACCCAAGCAACACATTGTCCCATGCGCCTTTGCGCCTTGTCTCCTGGGCCCCTGCCTGAAGGGGCCCTGCACCTTCTGCAACCGCCCAGTGCTGGCGGTCCTATGCCAGCTTCACCACTCGCTCACTCATTGACTCATGGACTCGTTTCAGCTAGTGATCCACGCCTGAAAGCACAAGGCGCCCGATCGGGCAGATCTTGTGGTGGTCCAGTCATGGCATCTGAAACCGCGAGGCGCGACGCTGCGACGCTGCGACGTTGCGTGTTTGCTGGCTCTCGCTCCATGCTGGCCTGCCATCATGTTCCGCTGCGAAACTGGGCACAGTGACATGAGCTCAGGTTGGAAGGGCAGAATGGAAAGGATGGAAAGGTATGTGAGGCGTCGTGGCGCGTAAGTTGGCCTCCGAAGCGAGCGCCAGCAGTCTGTGCAGCTCTTCTTGACACCTTGGAGACATCCACAAACTCTTCGCATCCCTCAATCCCTCAATCCCTCAATCCCTCAATCCCTCGCTCCCTTTCGAAGGTTCCTGGCTCTCTGAGAGCCGCACCTGAGGCCTCCGCAGAGACCTGGAGGGCGAACGAAAGCCGACGTGATCAACTCAAAGCCGAATGAAAGTCCTTGCAACCTTGAGCTGAAGGCCCGACCCGATGGACCGGATCCCAATGAAAAAGACCGGGAACGAGTTTGGGAATGGCCTAGTGTCCCTAGTGTGGGGCGGGGGGTGCAGGGGAATATGATCTTTGCAATGAATCCGAATCAGTACCCCTTCAGGCTTGACGAATCAATCCAAGCCGGAGCTCCCTAAATTGCTTCAAGGAGAACTCAATAGCCTTTCTTGCGATCTCGTTTGCTTAAACCCGGTCTATGCAAATGTCCAACTTCTCGGCCTTGGGAGCTGGACGCGCAAGGACTCGCGCAAGTGCTGCCTCCCGAGATCCGATCACATCCGAAGGGCGTGGCCCTAAGGAGCCGGCTCAATGGGCTTGTCGAAAGCGCGTGGCAGGTGGTCGTTGTAGGGCGGGTTGTAGACACCTCGCAAATGCAAATGGATGCAAATGGATGCAAATGGATGCAAATGGATGCAAATGGATGCAAATGGATGCAAATGGATGCAAATGGATGCAAATGGCGCATGCATGCTCGCAAAATCATGGCCTGGGATGCTCTTCGTGCTGACCTGGGCGCCACCGGGGCCAAGCATCTCACAAAACTCTCCAGCCGAGTCGCCAAGTGATGGATCTCGCCAGCAACGGTGCAGAATTCCTGCCTCGTGACATGCTCCAGAGTGGGATCAAAAAGCATGCGAGACGTGTAGCGGCTTCCGTGATTCTCAGATCTCCAATCAAAAAGGAGCTGTAAGTAATGGGCTTCATGTGCTGCTCCTCCTCCATCTTGGCGACCGCTAACTTTTCCTGACAAATGCTCGGTGTGTAGCAATGCTCTGGCCACTCTGAAAGCCAGCCTGGTGTTCTTGAGTGAGGTACCTCAGCATGGAAACAAAACAGCTTGGGATGCCTTGACATTCGATGTTCATCCGGAGCACGTCCGTGTCCATTCGCCGCGCTTCGCACATTTTTGAAGATACCTGGCCGGTACACAGGCTCCACTCGCAGCAGGTCGAATCAGCGCCTCTTTCGCCCATAGAAGTCGTGCAAGAGCCTGAGCAACTGTCAAAGCAATCTGGACAAAGAGGCTGGAGCCAGCCTCCTGCTCCAACAGCCTCGAAAGGTCCGCTGAATAACGACCTCACAGAGGGCATAGTTTGGCTGCAATGATTGCAGAGCAAGGCTCGGACAGCAGATTGGTGGAAAAAGTGGGAGTGGCACTGCCTCATATCAAAGATCAAAAGTATCAAGAGTGTCAAACGCCATCATATCCGTTGCCATACAAGAATGTTGCATGAGGGCAAAGGTGTTGCTGGCAGTGAGCCCCGCTCCTCTGACGCTGGAATCGCAGGCTGCGGGCTTTTCGTCTGCCAGACCAGCCGCGCACCGCGCGCTGCAGGGGCAACCAGGTCAAGACTTCTTGTTTGGAGCACGGCTGTGCGGCTTTGAGGCATTGCACAAGGCGAAAAAATTGCCTGATAGCACCTGATAGCACCTGATAGCACCTGATAGCACCTGATAGCACCTGATAGCACCTGATAGCACCTGATAGCACCTGATAGCACCTGATAGCACCTGATAGCCTGACCGTGCACTTCTTGAAAGCACCTGAATCATGAGCGTGGCGCCCACGACGGCATGCCAGCCTCGGGATGCGGTCTTCAGCCAAACTGAGAATTGAGACGTGCAAAGCAAAAAGAAACGAGCCGCGGAGCTTCTGCGGATCTTGGAGGCGCGATAGACACTTTGAATCCTGCTCACGATGCTCACGATCGAATCCCTTGCAAGGCCTCAAGGCAGTCTGTGCAAGGCCTGCAAGGAGCACTTGGACGAGTCAGACTCAGTGACTATCCGGACTATCCTTGTCACCGCTTCGACCTCGCGGGCAAGGTGGTCGCTGGCGGCCTAACGCATCAGACCAACAGCATGGTAGGCACAAGTGTGGAGAACCGACGGGACGCCTGCGTCAATGCGAAGTACTTTTGTAAGACCTGGGAGAACAAGAAGCGCTGGGAGCACTGGGAGAACTGGGAGCACTCCGACAAACACATTCACGGCCCTGCCTCTTGTTTGGCCTTCTCCAAGCCGAAGAAATGGGACATGGCCAGGTCACGGATCCCCCATATGATTCAGAAAAGTCTCACGGGCCCCTATCCCTGCATTCAGCACAATTTGCGTGAGCCTGGGACATCGTGCCCTTGGCGGGCCCTTGGTGTTGAGAATACGCTAGAACCATACGGGCCATCCTTTGCGAAAGCTGGGGTTGGTAGATCTGCAACCAATGAAACCTGAATCTGTTCTGCGCCAAGTTCAAGCTCCCCCCCCCCTCCCCCGAAAATGCACGAGCTCTGCTTCCTTCTCGCGACGCAAAGTCATCTGCCAGGGCATTAGCATGAGGGACGATCTTGGAGGCTCCCATCCCATCTCCGCTGGGCAAACCACAGCACTTTCCGCTCAGCAGTTGTGCATTGCCTTCTTCAAGCCAGAGGGCGAATTCACGCACACATTCAAATCCACAGCGACCTGGCCATGTGAACACATCCGACCCGAGCTTCCGACATCGGAGTGGCCTGTCGCAGCGCCTGCTGGAAGCTGACGGCATCGAAGCCCTCTGGCAGCTCACCGATCAAATCCAGCCGCCGCAGGCAGGGACAGGCGCTCAAGGCCTGCCAAACAAATCTCATGGCACGTGAAGGTGTTTCTGCCATGTTGGCGAAGTGATCATGGTGGCTGGGAGTACATGCATATTACGTTGTCGTCGATCACACCATAGAAAGCAGTCGTGTTGGCTTCGAAGCTACTATATATCCGAAGCAGCTTCCTCACTTCGGTCTTGCATGAGATGATGTCTGTGGCTTCCCTTCCCAAAAATCAAAGCTACGCAGCTCGGCAGCTCTCGCCTCAAGCAAGCCAGACAACCCTGAGCCATCGTGGCCCCAGGCATCCATGACGAGCACTTCTTCCACAGTTGCACCCAGCAGGCACGAGGCTGCCTGCGCTGGGCTGGCGAACATGCTCAACTAAAAAGGCATGTGTTGCTTTTCTTTGTTGGTTCAGAAGAAAGACAACATGAAAGAAAAGCAACATGAAAGAAGAAAAGGTTTTTGGTCCGAATCTTTGCACGCATGGCCTCCAGTGCTCCCAGCTCCGGGTCCTGCGGGCAGCGCAGCGCCACGGAGCGCAGCGATGGCAGGGCCTCCACCGCCTCCTGCGAACAAAGCGAGGCACAAAATGCAGCAACTGAAAAGGAACCAAAACGCAAAACAAACGCAAAACACGCAAAAAAAACACGCAAAACACGCAAGAAAGCAACCAAATAGCAAGCGACAAGTACGAGAGCGATCACCAACCCGGTTTCTGCTGCAACGTGTTCTGCCGCCTTTGGGCAATTGCACAGTGGATATTCATGAGAGAGGGACTCCCGACGCCTTGAAGCTGATCAAGACCTCGTCGCTGGCTTCTGTCCACCAAAGGTACCCCAAACTCAGAGACTCCAGGCGTTGCCGGTCACCAAAATGAATTAGCATCGTCACCAAGGCGGAGACGATGTCAGCCCCACAGGAGCACGCCGTGTCTAAGTCTAAGCGGAGGGACTTCAATGGACACTTGCCAAGAGCGGGAATAAAACTCTCCGCCAGGGCGTTGGAGTCGTGAACGCATCTCAAGGTAAGTGACAGACGCTCTAAGCATCGCAGGCTGCCAAATGCGAGGCCCAAAGATGGCATCCAGGTGTCGAACAAGCAAAAGCTCCCAACCCCACTCCCAAATACGCCGCTCTCGTCAATACATATGGGCCCCAGCTCCTGCCGGGCAAGTCTTAGATCTTTGTGCTTCCATTGATTCGCAAAACGGGCTGCCGCATTCCCCGTCCTCCAGGCAGGCACACTTGCCCAACCCTTCCACGAGCTCCTCCAAGAAAGGGTCGCTCTCGAGCTCCTGCGGCGGCCTCGCGTTGCTTCGCACCCACTTGTGCCACTTGAGCCACTCGAGCCACTCGAGCCACTCGAGCCACTCGAGTATTTCGAGTAGTTTGAGTAGTTCGAGTTAGGGTCCTTCGAGTCCTAGTCCCCAGCCTGAGGCTTTTGAGCTGCGGCAAGTGGCAGGAGCGCAGCGCCGCTCGCCTCGCCAGCTCACCAGGCGAGACTCCAAGAGATGGCAATTCTTCTCCTCTTTGGGAACTTTGGGGCACTTTGGGGCATGGCATGGCTGCGGGCGTGCTCGGGAAGATGTACGGGCAGCACCTGAGCAACGCGGAGCAAGGCTGCAAAGCACTCAGCCGATGCCCAAGGCCGGTGCAGGCCATCAGGGGAAAGGAGCCGATGCGCCGTGCGGCTTGCTCGAGAGAGCTGGCAGACCTCTCTGGAAACCACGGGAATGGTACAATGCAATGGTATAATTCGGTATAATGGTTCAAGATGCTAGAACATGGCACAACATGGTGCAATATGGTACAACATGGTAGAATATGGTACAACATGGTACAATGGCACCGGCTTCCAGCAAAGGTTTTGTGCCTCGACTGCAAAAAGACCGCTTAGCACAGCACCGAGGAGCCTAGGCCCGCAGTGGTCCAAGTGCACATGAGACTTGCACAAATCTCGTGCAAGCACCTCTCTCAAATGGCCATGGGTCAAAACCCCGCACCTGAACATCCCAATCCCCACTAAAATGGACTAAAATGGGTGGTGCACCTACCCCAAAATGGTACCATTGGTTTTGACCCACAGCCAAATGTCAAAATTGGTCAACTGGCTCAGCCCAGAACCCAGACTCTTCAAAGAAGGACAGCAGCGCGGCTCTGCTGCCAAAGCCATGACTTTCCATGGCACATGCTCATGCATATGCCACTCAAGGAATCAAGGAAGAAATCAGACTCGACGGGATTTACTTTCACTGCTTGACGGAGTGTTCCAATCTGACCATGTTCTTCCTCCTGTAGGCACTTGTGCCTGCCGAACAGCTCACACACTTGGGCTCCATAAACATTGATCGCCTGCACCGCTCAGAAGCATGCAGTCAGCCCATGCCTTTTTCTTAAGCTCTCCTCAGAGAGTCGCACTGCCCTTGCAAAGCAAGGAGGCAGCATGCTCTAAGAGCCAAGTGCCCATGCCCTTTCTTGCCCCGGCACGCTGCTTGCAGTGATCCGCCCCTACCCCTTCGAATTCCAGCGGCCTATGCCAATGTTCTCATGTATTTGGTACTATTTGGTATGTGTGTCAATGTTCTGCTCACACCTGAGCTGCTGTGTTTGTGCGGTCGGGCTTTGGACTCCGCTTGACCTCCGGCATCACTTGCACTTGCAGCCTTGCATCAAGCCTGGCAAGCACAGCCCACTGCCCCCCCGAAGTGGCGAAGTGACAAGCTTGCCTTGGCGGCAATGGACGCCTGAGCATCGTAACGGCACCGGGGAGGAGAGGAGAGAAGGAGGGAAGGAGAGAGAAGCTGAGAGAAGCTGAGAGCCATACCAAGAGCTCGCGCATCAAAGCAGGATGCGTTAGCCTTACGGATGCTGAGACAAAATTTCAAAATGGATGGATGCCGCTGCCAAGCCCTCAACGTAGTCGCATCTTTCGCAACTGCGTCCAATACTTGCGGATCCTGCGCTTCCCAGCACCAATTCGGACGGAAACGCAATGCCAATCCCTTCACAAGTGACTCCTCCACAATCCCTTTCACCAGGGCCGCTCGAAGCTTTGGCAAGCCAAACTCCTCCGCAAGCTCAGAGACTTGGTGCTCATCTCAAAGTCTCAAGAGTCTCAAGAGTCTCAAGACATGCCTTTCAAGGAGCTCGAAAGTTGGGGGCCTAAAGTCTCACCTTGAGCCTCCCGCTTCGCTCTGCCCACCTTCCCACTCCCAGTTTTATATCCTCGCAAAGGCGCACACTGGCCACAACCTCGGGGCATGGCGCGTTACGTGGTTTCTAACGGTCCTGAGAGATCCACGCTGACCGGCATGTTGCAGACTGAGCATGGCACGTTGGCTGTGGTTGCATCAGCTGCGAGCCGCGTTGCGCAAAGCTCAGAAAGCGCCGGCAGGCCAAAGTCTGACCTTTCCAATCAGAAAGTGAGAGCAGACTTTTGGCACCGGAGAAATTGAGGCTGGGCGAGATCTTCAGGATCTCCTCGTTGACCTTGCTGGCACCCGTAGTGACAAGGTAAAACAGGCTGGCCTTGCCTTGGCTGTTGACGGATCAAAGCTCTCGCGGTCGACCTCACGTTTTGCTCGTGCAATTCTTCATGCCGTCATGCCACTCCACCTGCCTCGCCATAGCAAAAGCGCACCACCTACGCTTCAAGCACTTCACATCGGCATCAAAAGTTCAAATGGCTGAGTTGCTCTTTGGGCTCGCGGCATGGTCGACGGCTTCATGGCTGGCCTCTCTCCAACTCTCCAATCTGGGCTGTTCAAAATGGAGCGATGGCCATCCACAACGCCTACAATAAGCAAAACTCAAAGTAAGAAGGAAGGATCAAGCACCTTTGAACAGCCCAGCAAACTCAGAATCAGGATCTCTCACTCTAAGGTGGCGGCCTGCTGCAAGTCTAGCTCAGTTGCATCCTCTTCAATTCAGCTTCAATCTGCTTCTCAAATCCCAGAGCAAGCTGTCCTGCAGCTGCCTTGTGAGGATCTCTGAATGGGCAGCCAGTACCTGTGTCCGGGAGACGTGGCAGGGGTCATGTCAACCACATCTCAACAAATCCCCACATGACATGCAAGCGAGGCTTTCGGACTTCACCGGGCGTCTGCAGGGACTCTTGCCCTTCCGAGTGCCATGCGCCGGCCCTAAAGACAAAATCGCCTCGCTCTGAGCAAGGGAAAACCCCTCAGCGAGGGAGAACTTCTCTGTCAGGACTTGCAAAAGGCAAATCTTGGACAAAGTCGACGGCACATGGCAAGGGCTACGTCACTTGACATCATCTTCGTGCACTAGGCCTCTTCTTGGCTGCCAATTGTGCGGCCCTGGCACGTGAACTGGTTCACCCCAGGGTGTGGACCCGGCTCTGGTCGGAAATGCTTCAATATGCTTCAGGAAAAGAAGTGTTCGATTCGGAGAAAACACCTGATGCAACGCAACTCAGCTGGTACAACACAAAGTACCTCTTGAAAACATTTGTCGATTTCACGCCCTTCTTGATTCAAATCTGCATGCATTTGCATGCACAGCGCAATAATATGTTTGTCTGTCACTCCCCAAAGATGAAGGCAACGGTAGACCTTGCACTGCGTAGCGTCTCTACACTGCTCGCCTAGCGAGTAGCAGCAAGTCAACGCTCGTTGCCTTGGGCAGGTGGGCTACGATTGAACACCCTGACATTCCGCTGGCAGGCTAGACAGAGATGAGATTAGGCCAGGCAAGTTAGACCATAGAAAAGCCTGGCAAATGATGGTCACTTTCATCTTTCCTTCTACCTTTACCTCCACCTCCTTTCTATTACTAATGATTATTGATTGGAAAGGAGATGACACAGAGATAAAGGGGAGGAAAGAAGGAAACAGGAAATGAGTTAAGAGACGAGGAAAGCGAGACGATGTGTTTCCTCACCCTCTCGCCTTGTCTCTGTGTGCGAGAGGAGAGAGACTAGATGGGTGAGGAAGGTGAGAAAGGGTGCGGGTTTTCCTTTTTTCTTTCCTTCTCTTTCCTTCCTTTCGCCATGTCGGCCTCGGGGGATGAGTGGTCTGCTTTACTTGCTAAGGCGAATCCAATTATCCAGGCGTGGTTTCGCCAAACAGGTGCGGAGTGTTGCTCAGATGTGAGGGGCATGTGGCCTGATCCGCCAACGTGCTCCGCTGAGTTCAAACGCAAGCGCACTCCGACCCTGACTCTGCAGTTGAAGTGGCGGCTTTGCATTCCAAAGCGTCGAAACGCGTACTTGAGCACATCTCTGACGCAGCGGCGACGATCACTTTTGATGGAAACCGTGCCCGCGGTGCGGCCTTCAACGCAGCCAGAGTTGTTCCACGAGCAACGTCATAGGGTTCGTAGCTTATTAAGCCAATCGCCTGGTCCTGTTGCTGCGCCTGTTCGTGCGGAGCAACGGGGTCCTGGAACGGACGCTGTGGCTTTCAACTTTCAAGCTAGGAGAACTTTTTGCCTTTGCCTGTGAACACTTGTTAGATTTGCGCAGCTTTGGTTTCCCAAACGTTTTTTGGGGCGATGAAAATTCTGTTTTGCAGGCCCAGTCTTTTATCATGGCTGGGGCAGAGCGCCTGGGTGAGAGCCACCTGAGTTAAATTTTGTCTGCGCTGCGCAGATGGCTCACAGACCTTGCAGCTTTTCTCCCTACCGATCACACACCTTAGGCCACCCAGAGCTGCAGCCTTGGGAGCCGCTTTGTTTGTTACGTGTGTCGGCAAGTCTACAGGGCTCTGCACGCATGGTAGCGGCTTTCATTCTTCAAGCTGCCACGTCTTGCATCAGGTTTGCGCACGCACAAAGATCCAAGTTAATCGCAGACCATGATAGTTGGCTGGAGTATGAGTGTGCTCAAGGAAAGTCTCGCCGGCAAGGGGTGCGGCCTCCGCATAGCGGTGCACCCCATCCCTTGTTTTTGAAGACTTCAATTTGCTGGATCAGTTGCGAAAATTTCATGAGGAGGTGGCCAACCCTGCTGCCAATTTTTTGTGGCCAGCGCTCGAGCTGCAGCCAGGCAGAGCTGTGGCAGGTGTCTGAAGACACGTGTTTTCTCTGTACTAAGCCAATTTCCCGCACACGGTTCTTAGAGTGCTTTCATGGCCTCTTGATTCAGAGCGGAGTGGCTCCGGCAGAAGCATGCGCGGCCCAGTTCAATCGACTTCGGCGCTTTGCGCCAACAGGAGCGCTGGTGCGGCTGGATCCGCAGGACGCCCAAGCTGTTCGTGGACGGCAGTTCAACTTCCAGGCCAGCAAGGCCAGCGAGCCTCGTGCCTCATGCCGGGGAGCAAGTGCAACGTGGCGCCATAGTAAAACAGCATGTTTCGGACCAGATGCTGCGCCGTTTTCGGCGCAAGGCGGCAGATTTTCGGCCCGACCCGCAGGGCCCCTTGCTGCCTGGCAAGTTCACATGGGAAGCCGTTGGCTTGAAGCCTCTTCAGATGTGCTCTGCCACACCTTGCTTGCAGCCAAGTGCCGCGCAGAGGGGTCTTTGTCCTTCTAGCGAACCCAGTGCTTCTTCCCAATCCAACAGCAGTGTCGCATCAGAGCAGGAAGGCATACTCTCAGATATGGCAGGCCTTGCAGAGTTGGAGTGGATCCAGTAGCGAAGCAAGATTCATATTGCTCGGATGAACGCTTCATCTCATGGTGCCAAGAGGACCCATTCCCGCAAGACCCGCAGATGCAGGTCGAGGCTTTTTCCCCACCCTCCCACCCTTGATGACTTATCCCCACTTGGGTACTTGAGTCTCTGTACTTGGGACCTCTTGAGGGTTCAATGGTTGACCTTGCAGGGCACCTTGACCTTCCAGAACCCAGCGTCACGAATGCTGGTGTTTCTCCTTAGCTCTGGCTCAGGGTCCTTCCAGTGGTAGAGCTGTGCCACTGAACCCCTGAGGGTTTAGCCATGTACCGTCAAGTGCAGGCCGGCAAGGCCGCACTTCACAGGCTTGCCGCAGGAGATCCTGCACACAACCTGCCGTTCTATGAGCCGGACCTCAAAGAGATCGAGCACGGAACCCTGGTCACCCTTCGATGCAAGGTGCTTTCCCAAGGGCCTGAGGGCCACGTCGCAGTTACTGGCTTTCGAGGGGTGGTGTTTCGACTTCGCCTGACGTTGGCCCTGCCTTGTGAGGAGCTCACCCTGTTTGGCTTTCGTGTGCAGCATGGAACGCATATCACACTGGAGCAGGTTCCCGGTAGCCATTTGCATCCGCACCATGCGCCCAAGCATGAGGACCTTCTGCAGGTCATAGAGCTGTGTGCTGGCATCGGAGCCGGAACTCAGGGAGCCACCGCTGCCGGCTTCACTGTTGCCGCTGCAGCTGAAATTAGGCCACCCCTGGCCCAGCTGTTGGCGGCGAATTGCCAGGGGCACGTCGTGCAAGGGGACATCAACACCCCATACACCATCCAGCAGGTTGCAAGGGCCGCGCCCAAGGCCAAAGTGCTTAGTGCTGGAGTGTCATGCCAGCCATACAGTGCTGGCGGTGATCGCCGGTCCGGGGCTGATGAACGGGCCTGGACGTTAGCAGGCGCATTGCAGGCCGCAAGCCTCCTTGGCTCCCATCTGATAGTACTTGAGTGCGTCAAGGAGGCCGCCAAGGACACATATGTCCAGAAAGCCGTGGAACAGTACTGCATTCTGCATGATACCTGTTGCACACAGCAGGTTTTGGAATTGGCGCATGTGTGGCCATCCAAGCGTTGCAGGTGGTGGTGTGTGATTTCCGCCAAGTGGATTGGGTCCGTTACCTTGTGCGACCTTCCCAACCGTGAACAGCACTGTGTGGTTTGCCAGGTGATCCCACGTTCGTTGACCTGGCCGGTTGAGGAAGAAAGTCAGCTAGAGCTAACCCCTTATGAGCTTCGCAACTTTCGTGATTATAGCCAAGGCTTAGATGCTCTAGAGCTCAAAGCAGACCAGATCGCACCCACTGCATTGCACAGCTGGGGCAATCAAGTATACGGTTGCCGGTGCGGATGTAGATCCCAAGGCTTCAGCTTGGCCAGAATGGAGCAAAGGGGATTGTGGTCCCCATTGATCCGTCTCCCAGGCACCGTCACCATTGACGGTGAAGATGTGCCGAGGTACCGACACCCTCACCCCAGGGAAGTTGCTTTGCTCACAGGCTTGCATCCGGACATCCATGTCGGTGATGACATGAGGCTGGCTTTGTGTGGAGTTGGTCAGCTTGCATCCCCGTTGCAAAGTGCTTGGATCTATGGTGCGATTCGTACCACACTGCAGCAGACTTTCTGCGACCGTGAGCCGTTTCTTGCGGGTGAGCCACTGCTCAATGCCATGATTCAAGAGCTTGTGGATGCTGCCGCTAAGCTCGGCCACCCGGTGCCTTCGCATGAGCCTGATAGTGAAGATGAGTTCCGTGACATTGCCAGGAGCATTGAGATGCAGCCATCCCCAAAGCGCCGTAAGACATCCACCGTGTGGGTTTGTGGAGTCGGGTCTTCTAAACCCACGCCAGTGACGGTGCCTGAAGGCACTGTTGCATCACACATCAGCAGTGCCGAAACCAAAGTCCTCGGTGCTGGGACCACCACGTGGCCCCTGCAGGACCATGCCGAAATCTTGGCAGGCCAGCATGTGTATGTCACCCTGACACAGCCATCGCCAGTTGAGACCCTTGCAGTCGCTGCATTGCATGTCCCAGCCAGTGAAGGGGAATCTGAGTCGCCTAGTGACGCCAGGTTGGCTATGTCGCCTTACCGGGGTGCCCCTGGCTCGGCATCAGCCGTTGAGCCTGCAGCTCCCACCAGTGCCAGCCACCTCCGCGACCTTGTGACCGCTACCGAAACGTTTGCCATCCAGAGTGAGGTTCCAGTTGAAGTGCAGGTCCAGCCCACAACCTGGAATTTTGCCGGCGGTCAGCTCACCAGAGAGCAAGGCCACTTGTGTTCCATCCCGGTGCCCAAAGCCACAAGTGCAGCGCGTGCACATGAGCTACGCGGTGTAGTTATCCGTGTTGAATCCAGGGTCCGCATGCACAATGAAGCCGGGCCACTGTGGGCCGACGATGAGATGCTGTTCCACTTGCAACGCATTGCCAGTGTTGCTGGTCAATCCCTGCACTGCCTAGTGGTTGATCCCATTGTGACCACCAATGCAGCCCAGTTCGAAGTTCCCGCTCTGCAAACCTGGTGGAATGAGGCGAAGCCTACGTGTGGTGCCATCATCATCACAGCGGCACAGATCCAAGAGCATTGGGTTCCCATCGTGTTTCGATTCACGTCAGCAGGAGTGATCGTGCACACCAGAGTCACTGACCCAGCCATGCTGTTGCCTATCCGTAGGCTGTACCAGCAAGTG